ATATATATGATGACAAGCTTGTAAATTAACTATCGTATTTAGTTTACGCATCCTAAATGTTAATCAAAATAATGTATTGATCATAATCCTTAATTATTGCGTAACTTGAAATCTCACTCAACCGAAAAAAAAATTTCCGGACCTTGTGCAATTGGCTTCAAATAACAGGTGTAGTCAAATAGAGTAGACAGTTCTCTCTTCAGTTGTCAGTCATGAACTGTAATTTGCCGCACATTTTGTTGCTGTAAGCAAGACTTTGGTCTCAGTATCCGAATTGAACACATTTTCTGACCATCAAGAATGCCCATAAAAAATTAATTGAACAATTACTGAACAAGTCTACAATTTGATCACACTACTTCAACACTTCCATCTATTTGCACTGGCGTAGTGACTCTTGGTAACGTTCATTCTTTTGACTATTACCATTGCAAAAAATTTAAATTCACGTCTCCCAGCAAATGCTGAAATAATTTCTGGCGATCGTAGCTCCTGCTGAAAAAATACGCTTCTTGAACTTCTTCGGCGACGCGTATCATCTCCTCATGAAATTTGCTTCTTCCAGTGAACGAATTAAGCAGAACTTCATGACCTTTGATCTCTATTCTAAAAACGGAGGCACTCTAGGACGATAATTACGTTCACTTAATGTAGCATTACTTTGCAACCCAGTTAAAATTTTAGGCCGTGGCGCGCGTGTTTATCGGCGTGGAGGGCGATTATAAGCCCAGAGCGGCAGATTGGCCGTTTTTCCCATATCTCGGCGATATGGTAGACTCCTGCGTTTGGTATTTTTTTTAATCCGAGACGAGACGAGACGAGACAACAGGCTCTGTCCCGGTTCGCAATAAAAACCGGGACAATTTTCAGCCTTCCGTTGGAATTCCGGGACGATACCGAGACGAGACGAGACGTCCCGGTTAAAATAGGTACCTTTAAATTTCCCGGAATTTACAGTCATTTTAACGAGACATAACGAGAATAATCAATTATTGATGTGGTGTAAACTTTGGCTTACCGTCATACATTTATACAGAGCTGGGCAGCGCTACTTTGAAATGCAGCGGCCGCTACCGCTACATGCTCTAAATGTAGCGGGCGCTACCGCTACAATGGCTTAAGTGTAGCGCCGCTACCGCTACCGAAAATGTAGCGGCCGCTACAAGTAGCGCGCTACTGCCCACCTCTGGTAACAACAAACATGTTGACACTATTAACAGGCTGAGGTTGACAACATTACACCGAAATTGTTCGTAACGGTACAGTTTTATTCTGTAATTTATATTATGTATGTATCATGTTGATTTTTAAGTAATATTTAATACTATTAAGTAAAATCTCTAAAGGCTTTATCTATTCATGTAGCGGTAGCGCTGTAGCGGCAAAACCTCGTATCGCTACTTAAATATGTAGCGGGCGCTACCGCTACCGCTACAATTGCTTAAATGTAGCGCCAGTACCGCTACATGTAGCGCGCCACTGCCCACCTCTGCATTTATATAATAACTTGAGACGTATCCTTTTACTATTCTGATTGGAGCTCGGCAATTGAAATTATTTTTGCGACGAATACATGTCGTGGTTTAATATGGTAGTTAATCTAGACAGGCAAATAAAAATGGAAAAACACGTTTTTTTTTCAAAAATTGTGTTCTATGATGGTTTGGAGGCTGTCTCTTATACACATCTAGATGTGTATAAGAGACAGCGCTTACATTCTCCAGTATCCTAGTGAATTTTGCACCATTCAATGAAAACAAACGACAAGAACGTATCGAAATGATAGCACAATCAAGTGCNCTCGTTATGTCTCGTTTCAAATCTGTCTGTCTCGTCCCGGTTCATAATTTACCGGGACACAAGTTTTAAAGTCCGGGACAGAAGTCTTGTCTCGGTTCATACGTTTATTCCGGGACAAATTTTATCCTCTGTCCCGTTATTTTTTTCCCGGAATTTTCTCGTCTCGTTTCGTCTGTCCCGGTTCATTTCGAGAAAATTATTTCGAGACGCAGGAGTCTAGTCCCGACTCCCAAGTAGCCCTGCTGTGCGGAAATGGCCGCCATTTTTTTTTTGGATTGAGGTATGTAAATTCTGCAAATAAAGTTTTCATGCTGACACTTGTCTGCCACTTTTTTCTAAGCAAAATTTCTTAATACAGCAAATATTTTTTTACTACAGACCTTAGCAGAAGTAACTTTTCAAAATATTGTTTTTCACCATTTTTTTCAGGAATTTTTCAAAGCTAGTAAATGCAGTATTTTTGAACTTCCTTTCTACTACATAGATAGGAAAAATGTTGATGTTTACGCCACTATATTTAGTTTTGCAATATTCCAATTAGTTTTGCTACTAAAACAGTTTTACGCCGTGTTGGAGGACTGTCCCGAGTTACCCTGCCTGTCCTGAGTACTCAGTGAGTAGCCCCGGTTGACGGTACATCTCAACTGCAAAATACAATTTTGTCAGTTCAGCAAGGTTCCTGTCAGTGTCACAATTGGGTATTCTTATCCCCATTGATAAAAAATCCTCATTGATAAAAAATGTTTCCAAATACTAATTAGGATTTGTATATACTGGTACTTGATATGCAACTCCTGCATGGCATTGGTTAAAAGCTCTTGCTCTTCTATTGTGGCCAACTGGCCTGGTCTGGTCATGACCTAGCAGGCTAACACACTTCTTCTGTCTTCAACCATTAGTTATGAATCAAAATTCAAAAGAGTAGGTACTATAGCCTTATAGGCTACTTGGAAAACAGCATCTGCAAATTGCAATCACATTATTTTATGAGAAATGACAAGAATCAAAATGCAAATTCTTGTTTGAGGATCAAAAAAGAAAAATAGAGTGAATAAAAAAAAATTCTCCAAAAGACCCAAGGGCTGGCAAAGTGCTAGCCTAGCCATTGCCTATAGTTGGTACCTAGCACTGCTAGGTACCTGGTGGCCTGTAATCTGTATTTTATTCATGCATTTATAAAGAACAAATTCTTAGGTATAGCCATTATAAAAGTTTCATGTCGTAAAGTCAAGTAGTCAACCATAGGCTAAGTCCATAACAAATCCTATAGGCCTCCTACCTAGCCTATATAGGCCTAATCAAGATTATTACTAGCTAGGTAACCATAAGGTAAGCCTAGGTATTAGCTAATTACTTAAGGGGACCGGCTACCCTAAAATTTTCAATTTTGGCTTTTCCGGTTTTTGAGCTCATCTTAAAGCTGAAATTCTGCTCTTTCCAATGGTACCACTGCCATCGCTGTACGCCAATATTTACGTTCATGACGTCTCTTTAAAGGGAAGCGGGTGGCAGAGTTCTTTAACTAATTAGATATAAAGTAATTAGCTGCTGAAATCTTTGAATATAGTTTCTACTTGAGTTGTGCTGCAGTTACATGCTTAGTCTCATCTTAAAGCTGACATTCTGAGCTTTCCAACGATACTACTGCGATCTATGTACGGCAATATTGACGCAGATGGCCGGGCTTTAATGGGGGGCGGGGGGTGGAGTTCCTTCACTAAATAGACCTAAGAAAATTAGAGCGGCAAGACTACATATCTTGGTGTATCTGGCATCTGAGCTCAGTTACCCTCCTAACGTTGTACGTAGAGGTGCGCTACAAGTTGCTGCTAGCATCCTTGAGTAGATTAAGCTACAGGAGCCTGTAGTTTGGTATCCATGCTACATTGAGTGCCTATTTCGAGGCGCTCGGGACTTTGTCGCGCCGTCCTGAAAAGTTCAACTTATTGTCACGGAAAACCTATCTCCTCCTACAGTTTTCAAGCTACAGCAATGAGACATATACCATTCGATTTGTAATAAAAATATCTATCGAACTGATGATCACTTTTTTGAATTTCAGTCTGGTTCGTTTTTTATATGGGGGAGAAGGGGGGGGAGGGGGGAAAAATGAGAAAAAAATGAGAAAAATTGGAAAAACGCGTATAAAAAATAAACTAAGGGGAAAATGAGAAAAGTGATCATCAAATCTCTAGGTATGGTCTTTACAAACCGAATGATACGTGTCTCGATGTTTTAGGATGATATTTGTAGGAGGAGATAGATTTTCTAAAGTACCCCTTTTTAGCCGTTTTCTATGAATTTCACGTTTTCTATATATTTTTTCGAAAAATTCATACGAGCAAAATGTTCTTATATTTACATTTTGCATATGTATGCGAAGTTTCATGATGATCGGATAATAACTGTAGAAGTTTTTCCGGAGGGTAGCCGGTCCCCTTAATAATAGAAAACATTAAGCGATTAAGGAGTTCAATTTGAACCAAATTACCTATGAAAGCATTTGTCCTCATTTAACATCAATGTTACCTACTCATCTGGATAAAACAAAGATGTTCAATGTTTTTTCTGCATTTCATTCCTGCTTACCCAGGAAACGAGGGTATATGCTGATGAATGCGGGCCACAGTCGATTCAACAACACACAGTTCATGCAACACACAGTCCGTGTACGGTGTACAGTACACTGTTGACTGTAGTCACTGTACAAGGTTTGCCTTCGGCCTTCGCCATATTTATGGCAACGGATGTTTGCGATATTTAAAAATTAATTGGTTTCTAAAAGACTTTTCTTTTAAAATGAAGCTTAATAACATCTATTTTATATTGCAGAAGTCTACGGTGTCTAAATTTACTATTACTTATGACAGTAGATAGAAATGCAATTGTAACCCTTCATGACATGATGACAAGGTCGAGAGTAATTCAGTCATTGCAAAAAAGCTCCAAATTCTTTGTGAAACTGTGTGGTAAAAAATCCAAGGAAACTGGTGAAACATGCAATTGACCTGGTCAAGGAAGGAAACGAAGTGTCCGAACCAAGCACTTGGTCAAAAGCACGAGGGAGAAGTTGAGGAGAAACCCTCGTCGCTCAGCTGCAAAATTGGGGTACTGACTATCTGTTCTGTTCTGTTCTTCGATGGATTATCGGAGTGCTGCGCCTTGGACGATTCACTCCGGAAGCAGCTGTTTGTTAACGATTACGGGTCAAAGCGGTGGGTTGAACTGATGAAGTTTTCAACGGCTCTGCAGGTCTGAGGCCAGGTAGGGCTGCTGGTGATATCTCCTCCCAGAAGGGTTTCAAGACTGAGTACAAGTATCCCCTGGGAGTTTATCTGACGTCGCAGTTGGGAGCGGGCTTCAGCGTACTCTGTGCAGACTATGAGATAGTGATGTGCTGTTTCTGGCACTTGGCACGAAGGGCAGAGTGGTGATGGGGCTTGGCGAATCTGGAAGAGAGACTTGTTTAGTGGAGCAGTGCCGAGTCGTAGTCGGGCAAAGAGGGTCTCGAATCTGCGAGTCTGCAGCATGTGATGAGCCCATGGGTGAACTGATGGCTTGATCATTCCCAGAGCAAACTGTCCTCGGATTGATGTCCACTTCGCTTGCCAAAATTTCCAGATGTTACGATGTACCACTGACTTCAGCTCGGAGAAGTCAAAAGGGACTTGTGCTGTTTGGTCTGCAGACGTGGCTGCATGCTTGGCGGCTTTATCCGCTGCCTCGTTCCCGTGCAGACCCGCGTGACTAGGTACCCACTGTAAGTGAACTGCTCCTGTTGGCAACAGATGAAGGTGCGCTTGAATGGTGGCCACGAGCTGAGTGTAGCTGCTGGGGAATGCTTGCTGAAGAAGCTGTAGTGATGAACGGCTATCCGTGCAAATAACTGCAGGCAGTGTGCGGTTGGCGGCTAAGTATTTCAAGGCTTGGAGGATGCCGTAAAGTTCAGCTGCAACGATTGTGTGGCTGGGGTCAAGGCGCCATCCTCTGATGTGAGACAAGGATGGGATTACCACTGTCTCTTATACACATCTAGATGTGTATAAGAGACAGAATGTAGATCGCTGTGTAAGAAATTTTGAGTTAGTCATATCAGAGAAAATTTGTACAGCAGCATCAGAAGAGGTAACTGACACTGTAGCCGAACAAAATTGGTCCAAAAAGTACTTGTCTACATTGAACCAAGGAGGCAATGGGGACACCAGAGGAGATGCAAGCATATGCGGCACAGGGATCTGCAAGGTGGACATGATGGCACGGGCATGAGAGATAAAACTTATTGGTTGGCATAGTGCTCTGTTAGGTAAGCATGGGGGAACATTTTGGTGAAACAATTCAGTTACTATTGGGCAACGGGGCAATTGTATCAGGCGAAAGTAATATTTACATAATAATTCATTCCTGTGTACTGAAAGAGGAGGAATGTGAGCTTCAACCTCCATTGAAGGTACCGGGGTGGTTCTTCTACAACCTAGAGCAATTCTCAGACAATTATTTTGTATTACATTCAGTTTACATAGATTAGTTGGGGCTGCAGAANAGAGAACTCTAGAAGCAACACGAGAGGAGATTGCCATGGCCTTTTGGTAAAAAAGACAACGAGGAGAGGATGCTGGATGCGGGCCCTTACATGAAGCGCAGCATGGGTTGTCGGCATTGCAGTTCTGCACGACATGGTCAGGGGAGGAGCAATGGGCGCAAACTGCTAGTCTTCGACAGGAGATGGAACCGTGGCCAAATCTTTGGCAACCGTAGCAGCGGGGCGGGGGGGGCAAGGTAGGAGTGTACTTTAAGTGAGACATTATGGAAGAATACCTTGTCTGGTACTGCCGAGGAGCATTCTATTGCTATGCGCATCGCTTGAAAACTGCTGTTGTTTGGATCTGCAACTACATGGCTTGGGAATAGCTTTTTAACCGAGAGGATTTTATTTGCATTTTGGTTAGCAGGGAGGGAAAGCTCGGCTAGGAGATCATCTGCGGTGTAGCTCAGAAGGTATTTGTCCTCTATATCTGTGAAATCGAATATTACTTCCCCTTGGAACATGGCTGGCTCTTTAGGGATACGAATTTTGTATTTAATTCCGCTGTGTTCATAACAGTGATCTGAGTTGGTAAACTCTTTTACTTTATTGGTCAGTACTTCCCCCGTGATTAGGGTGCCCTTCAAATTTCGGCTAAGGCTATCAGGTTTGATGAACTGTAGTGCTGGCCAGCTTTTGGAGATTTGGGCATAGAAGTTGAATGGTAGGGCCTTTTTATCTTCTCGTAAGTCGTAACAGAAGAAAGGTGGTAGAGGAGAGACTGGCCGGCAGTGTTTCATACTGGGTGGAGTTGTTTGAGCTTGAGGTAGGTTCTGAAGAAGTTGGCGAAGGAACAGGTTTGGTATAACCGTGAAGTCTGGGCTTCTTGGTCTTGGCAGGTCTTCCTATCACTGGTGAGTCGGAAGGGAAGCCGGCAAAATCAGAGGTGTCCATCACTGCTTCGGCGAAGAGGTCTTCTGTCAGGCCAGGGCCTGACGATGATTCGGCCATACTTTCCACCTTTGAGTGTTCTTCACAGTTCACACTAATTCGGTAATCCCTAGTAATATAGAATTTGCACTGTGTTTCAGATTTGACTACACTCTACAGCACCGTGAACTTTGGTTGTTGAGCGTAAGCACCACACATCTTGCCACCATGAACGAACAAACGAAACTCGGGGGGTACTGACTAAAACCCGGAGAAGCGCCGACATGTGGAAGAGCCTTCGCGATGACATCGTTGGCGCTCCAAGTATGAACGCGTTCAGGAACAGACTAGATAAAGCTATGGAAAAATATATGTTCAGATTTGAAATGCCTAGCGCCATATCGAACCCCGGAGGAAGTCTAGTAGCTACTTCAAACTATCGTCAGTCATGTAAAGATCCGGTCAAATGACACGATTTTAGATCTTCTGTGAACAAGGCACGAAAAGGAAAAGAATTGGCGACAGGCCACTTCAGCGCCGAGATCACTATATTATGTTATGTTAAACTGGATTCAGGATCACATCCCAGCTTTCATTAGCAAAAATGAATGGCCCTCAAGAATCCCTTATTTGTATCCTCTCGACTTTTCTGTGTGGGCTATTTTAGAGAGTAGGGTCTGCAGAACACCTCATGATTCTTTGCTTAGTTTGAAGTCTAAATTGACACGAGAATGGGACTTGATCCCTCAAGAAATACCACATGATTCCTGTGAAGCTTTTCCGCGTACATTGGAGGCCGTCATTAAAAATAAGTGTGGTCATATTGAATAAATATGTCTGAGAATTGTTTAGGTAATTCTTGGCTACTAGCTCATCCAGTAAAAAAAAACAATGCACAAATTTGTTTCATTGAGAAATAACAAAAAACATGCGTAGCCATAAATATAGCGGGCCCTGTATAGAAACATGGACTGCTGGCCCAAAGGAGAGAAAATAGACGAAACACGTCCAACGTTACATCCCCCAGTGGTTATAATAATAATAATAATAATAATAATAATAATAATAATAATAATAGCGGTTTCAGCGTTTATTAGGCCGTAGGCCTGTCGCCGATTCTTAACATCGCAGAACTTGCAACACACAGTTCATGTAACACACTGTTCCTGCAACACACTGTTCCTGCAACACACAGTTCATGCAACACACAGTTCATGCAACACACAGTTCCTGCAACACACAGTTCATGCAACACACAGTTCATGCAGCACACACGTATTGTAACACATACCTCTGGCAATAAAGAGTTAATGCCATGCTTGAACTGAAACGCGGTAACACAGCTTTGATGCCATCTTTGAAAGCATGTAGAAAATTACCTCCTCAGAATAGCCCAGAAACTTTAATAACTGCAAAAAGCCTTGTCTTAAGCGGATCCTGTTTTACTTAGCAATTTTGTTGAGTGGAAAAAGGAAATACTCTGAACTAAAATGGGCGAAGAGACCAACTATACTATATATTAGCTGTGCAACAGTGCAAGTAATAGCTGCCTTTTCTGCATGGTAGCTGTCGAAGAAAGGGAAGCGCATTCTAGCGATTTGTTTATTTTAAGATAATGCAGTGTATTCTTACATCCCTGTTATTATTTTTGTCAATATTTTTAATTTGGTTGATTCCCTGTCACTTTATTGTGAAAAGAATATTAAGAATTTTCGATCTCATATTCACTGTCTTCAGCGTCATGCAGTGTGAAACATAATTTATCAGCACGACCACGATCTATCTGTCAAGTCTCAGACTTTTGTAGTAGGATATGATGGAATATTGACAAGAGCCTAATGCCAGTAAAAAGTAATGAATAATTAATTAAGAAAAAATCTGAAGTCCTTAGAATTATTTGAGTTAAAATAGTTGCTTAATCAGGGTAGAATTCTAGATCCCTAAATGGAAGACTTTTTGTTACCAATTTAATAATAAATGATGCCTTCTATCTTTTTAATAATTATGCCTATAGGATTTTTTTTCATGAAACGTGAAGACGAAACAGAGGATAGTATCTTTCTTTGAGTGTTCAAATTCAATGCATTTAAATCGCTAAGCAACACTGAATATATTGCTGAATTTATTTGAAATATCGATAGAATTCCACGAGATTTTATTTTGAAAGAAAATGGAAAGGGAAACAGTTTTGAGCTCCGACATTTCAAATTTATTGAAGAACTACAATAACGAGACTAGATGTGCAGTGTAAGCATGAATTCAAGGAATATATTTTTTCATTACAAATGCAGAATCTGTAACACTAAAATTTTGAATTAAAAAAACAATCAAGTTAATTAAGAGACCTGCATATCGTGATATTTTAATTACATCCGCCAGTTGGTGTTACTGTAAAATAACATGAAGTTGTCTCAGTAAATGCAGTTCTGAACAATTTATAAAATAAGACTTTCACGTGTTTTTACTATGAAGAACTGCAAATTAGTTTTTCTAATTTTTTTAGGCTATAAGTTTTTAGACTACTATAGACAATGTACAGAATCTTATTTACCTATACTCGATACGTTTATGAAAATCAATGGTGAGTCATTCTTGTTCTTCTAGTCTACCAATGAATGATGGTGTTGCCATTATCTGATAGCGATCACAATCGTGTATCGGTAATGACGATAACCGATGACCATTTTCGGTCACCAAAAATATTATTTCTTTGTTACCAACGCTCGAGACTCCATTAGAGATGGAGCATGCACCCGTGCGGTGTGAGTCTATAGCTGCCGACGTCATCCTTTGAGAATATTGTGTCAAACAGGAGCACTAGTATTTTTTTAACCGTATCTGACATCCAGCATCTTTCATGTAATGAAACTGAAGATACTGGGTTGTTTTCATGAGATATTTTTTGAAGAAGATGAATCATTATAGATTCCCGCAAATGTAGCACAAAAATAAATCTCAACAATTGTGTCATCGATTACTTTTTTAGGTTGTAGAATATAACGATGTTGGTTGAAACAAATATATGGCTTGGCAAACCTGTCAAGAAGTTGCATATATATTGTAAATAAAACTTTTATGAAAATGATTTTACTGATTGATTTTGCTTGCTTAATTAACAATTATCCACAGAAGAAATGTTCTTGGCGGTACCTATAATGGCTGATGCATGTTTTCAGTTTGTAATTTCTTACAATTGGAAAAAGTAGGGGGAAATGAATATAGCATGAATTACGCCTAAATTCTAGTAATTTTTACAACGTTTATTGAATCGTCAGCTGTTGAACATGCAGAGGACATTGAAATTATTATTTGAACGGAGGACATTAAAATTATTAGGTGAACGGAGGATATTGAAATAATTATTTGAACGAAGAACATTAAAATTATTAGTTGAAAATTAATATCAATAAATATCAATTTTAGTGAAAATGGTTATTTATTACGAAAAATTGTCGCAACGAGTGAGATAATGTAACTAGATTACTTGTGCTACTATAATAGTTTATAATGGCATATGTGAATAATTTTATTTATGCTTGTCCCTTATTCATTGCAATTTTTTATTTGTTTCATATTATGCAGTTAGAATATTAGTCCCAACTTGGCATTTATTTTTACATTCAAGAAAGACACCTAAATAAGGTGTTCAAAACTAAGAAATTAAGTGAAAGAAAGTTGAACGTGAGGGTTTTTAATGGCATAAGAACACAAGGATATTTTGGATAATATGTACCTACATGAAGTTTGTTTTAATAATATTATTGTTTTATTCATGAATTTTATTCACACTTTCCTCCAATGCTAAATGGTTGGCCACGAATCGTATTTTAATGTATGCGGTAACGGAAAATTTATTTTGCAATTAATCAAAAAATGAGCCTGGTGCTTCCAACCGGTTTCTTGTCACATTTCTTTTATGAAATAAACAACGATCCGTTCCAAATTTTAGGAAGCGTCGAGATTCTCAGAGTGTAAGTTTATGTTTAAATCAATCAATTCACGTAGAAGCTGAATTTTTCAATTATATTCAAGTGAGAGGCAAACTTGAAATAAGTTTCAGCGTTTCAGATGAACGAGCAAAATTATCTTCAAATGAAATTCAATACATGATCAATTTAAAGATCGTAGTAATACATATTTTCTTAGTGCATCCATCAAAGTGGGAAATATACCGTACAAACAGCACAGGGAAGTCCACTCAATATGCAAGAATAAGAATCTATAGCATATGAGACTGAAAATGCTTGAACGTAAGAACTTTCTATCAATAGTACTCGGTATAACTTGTCAAGCTGGGACTTTTTGCCCGTACGCATATTTTGCTTGATCTTTATGGGCTTAGGTGTCATTTTAAACGTCACTTGAAAAAAAGTATTTACCTAATATAGCTGTCAATTCGAATACATGGTGCAGACTTTTCGGATCTATCTACTGGTATCATTAGCCGTATCTTTCGTACCAAATCAATGGGCTGTTGTACTATTAAGGTGCACCTCAATGGCGAGTCTTCGCAAAGTCAGTTTCAGTCACTAATAATGCAGGCTTAGTGGTTGAATTCGTACATTGAAACGCATAGCCAGGTTATTAGTGTTAACCCCAAGTCCGATGGACAGCGTTCTAATTTACTTTGGAGATTTTAGTTCTGATAAATACCCGTGATACGTGTAAAAAATGTACGCCTCCGCTTCTGCTGTTAGTTCCGAGCATGGGCCTGCAGTCAAGCTAGGCAATGGCAGCATCACATCTTTTAATGCGATGCGGGGATCTTAGTTTGAAAACATAAAAGAAAAATCATTGATTTTGAACGGTTACGCCCCAAAGCCATGGCTCCTCCTTCAGCCGCCACAGAGCCTCCCAATGTTGACATTAGGTTGGAAGCCGATACGCTTCAGTCCTCTGAGAAAAGTTGACATTTCCAAGCAATGAAATTATTAGACTGCATTTGCGGTCCCTAACCTACTTACAGAAGCCGCCTACTTCACTCACGCAATAAGTGAAGTTTAGAAATTGATTCATATTTGCATCACTACAATGTTGAATTATTTTAAGTTGTAACCCATTGATGCCGAGAATTATTTTCT